AAGGAGTACAGAACAAGCGAAGAAGAAATTATCCATAGAAAATTGCTTACGCGCATGTGACTGAGTTATCGCGAACATAAAACATTCAACAGCATATAGATGAAAACTGCCTAACGTTAATAAATGAAACGTTGAACCCATGAAGAGGTACAGTGAAGCTTAGGGGGTGTGATCTCCTCTATCTATGTTTTGATCATTGTTCTGAATCCGATTTGGATGTAGTTCGTACACACCGGGACGAATATAAACGCGCGTTATTCGTCAGCGTTTTTCAACGCGTTTTTTGTGTTCACACCCAAGCGATTTTCGCTGACGATGAGCCGAGTGAACATGCCAATTCATTCCCTGACATTAGATGGCGCTTAATGTAAAACAGAAATAGTCCTATGTTGTAGTCGCTGTCGCGTTTGTCATATAGTTCTTTATGTTCCGACACCAACGAGACCAGCAGCTCTACATTCATCTTGCCTCGCATCTTCCTCGTCTTATTTCTTCCCGGCAGTGTAGACCATAGATATCCATAATAAAGGCCATATTTGGCTAGCAGCGCAGATGAGACATCTAGCCTTTATTATGGATATCTATGGTGTAGACGCTACTTGGCTGGAAGACGCTACTTGGAAGAAGACGCATCTTCTTCGCCGTTACGTATGTATATACGTATGTGTGCTCAGCAAGACCGTTTTGTGTTTGAGCGCCCCCAAGTAACTTCAGAAGCTCCAGACACGTGAGCAAAAGCGCCAATCTTATTGGTCGGATAGTTTTTGACGCGGCGCATCAAACCAAAAAAACGAACCCGAGGCGTTTAAAAAAAAAATGACGCTTTTACGCGTGGCTTTTTTCGCGTCGGTGTGCACACACACATTGGCGCCCTTTGTTTAGTCACGAGGCGTTAAACGTCGGCGAATATCGCGCGCGAAATTCGTCCCGGTGTGAACAGGCCTTTAGACCAAAAAAATCTTTTTGTTCAAAATGTTGCTTTTTTATGTTCTTTCTTTTGATGAATTAAATGTTCAAATATTGATACAACAAAATATTCTGTGGGCCATGAAATTTTTGCAAAAAAGGATAAAAAATGCTCTCGCTGGCAGGCAACTTTAAAAAAAAAAATGCTGGTGGGGAAAGTTCTTAACAAATAATCTGACAAAGCGTAAATATGTCTCCACTTGCATCAAATGGACATACCACCAACACACCACCATTCAGTCAAATTATTAAAAGATTTATTAGCCTCGATGCAGAAGTCTAGACTACAGGAAGCGGGCTTGTGCAACAGCAGACTCGCTTCCAACAAAATAACACTGAAAGAAATCCGACAGGTACATTTCAACACAGAGGAGTGCATGCAGTAAATCACAGCTTTTGAAAGAGATACTTCCAGTAATGGCACTGGCTCAAATCAAAGCATTGTTAAAGCATAGATGAGACAAAATATGTTCAAATGACTCCTCTTCCTCCCTGTGATCCAGCGCCTTTGACAGTAATAACAATACAGTTTAATGAAAATTACGCTTTGGACAGCATGATCTGCCTATCTTTTCAATGATATAATGCTTTAGGATGCAGCTGAATGTCTGTAAGCAGACATGATGTGTTGCCTAATAACTCCGAGGTCTGCATGAATATCTAAAGCTGCAATTACCTCAGGCTGCAAGAAAACACCACCAGGATCATGACCCATGATCCAAATGAATAGTAGAAGGAAACTCATGCTTAACATTTTCCTCTCCTTCTGCTACTACGTGGAAGAGTAGCACCTCCTGAAAAAGAGGGAGCAAACTTCACCCCAGGATACACTGAACATGCAAATGCAGTCCATTTGGAAATGGATTAAAAAGACAAGCAAAGAAAAGAAATAAGTATTAATAAAATGCTATGTACAAGACCGCTGCGGAAATTGGAATAGGCTACAGTACATGTACAGTTCAAAAAGCCATTTCAGAAACAGCAACATGTTAAGATCTGGCGTCCTTCATTTACATAACCATATCACAATGGAGTGATAATGTTGCAGTTGTGCAATAAGGGCTTCAGAATAGCAGAGAGAAAGAGGGAGCGAGAGAGAGAGAGAGAGAGAGAGAGAGAGAGAGAGAGAGAGGAGAGGCCGCTGCAAGAGTACAGGCTGTTTCGTTTGTGCTCTTATATAGACGTGTACTAAGCACATCAAACATGTGACACTTTTCAGTTTTAACTTAAGGCTATGCTATAATCTTAAGAGCAATTCTGATTCTGTGCCAAAAAATCTTAATTGGTCTTTATATATACCCTGTTAATGGAGAACTCCAACCACTGATTTGCACTTTGTTGAAATGTACATTCATTAAATGCTTTAAAATGATGATTTTTTTCTTATCTGGACTCAAAATTCAGTACATTATCACATGCCTGTCTGTTTTGTTGAACTGACAAACTGTCTAACAGATATATAATGCTGCTAACATAGAGACAGTTTCGCTCTAGTTATGAAAAGTTGCAATTCAGTCGATTGAGAGGGCAGGTATTTTTGTGCTATAGGCAATACTGAATGTCATGATATATTTTAATGAAGTTTTCGCTGTTCACCCAGTTAAGTTCTAGAGTAATATGTAAATATAGGCAAGACAGCAACATAGTGTCGACTTAGATCCGGCCCACATTTGGTATGCGTGGAATCCACATGTACCAGATGTGGCCCAGATCTGGGCCGACACATGTTGCTGTCTGGGCTGTTTGTTTGTACGTGTTAGTATTTGAGGTCATGCATGTACTGTAGAACCAGCCTGTTCTCATGTAAATGCGTCTCTATAGTACGCATTGTGTATTATCGTGCAATTTATACGCGAAAATGAGTTTTTACGTGCATATGATACGCCGTTTTCGCGTGCATTTGATACGCAGTTCATTTGCGTGTAATACACACCACCCCACACCACTAATTCTACCCAAACGTATAATACACACGCACCCCACACCACTACTAAACCTACCCTAACCAACCCATGCGTATCCTATGCACGTAAAAACTCATTTTCGCGTATAAATTACACGATAAACACACTGCGTGCTATTAGACGCATTTAGTGTGATCGGGTTGGTAGAACTGTGCAGCCATCCATATTAGACATGGCTGTGTAAGTGCCACTACACCAAAACATAAGAATGAAGACAGCACTTTACATGTATTTTTTGTCACTTTTTATATTCACTTCGCCTGCTTTTTGAAAATTTCAAATGAAAACTTGCTTAACAGCTAAAATGTGTTTCAAAGTTGATATGCTTTGTTTTATCGCACATAATGTGGCTACCCTTGAGAAAAATAGGTACACTTTATCATACTTTTTTTGAATGTAATGTTTGAGGACACTTAATCACATCTTATTTACAATTAAATGAAAATGTATTATAGTTTTAATTTATATTAAAATCAATTAGTTCAAATTTTTTTGTTTTGGACCCACTTAAGTAGGACTTAAGTACATCTTTATATGTAATTTCGTAATTACTTAGTGAGTTACTATTAAATTATAGTCAATTCAAATATACTTTAATGTCATATATTTAAATATATTTGTAATGAAGTTGCAATTTAGTACATTATAAATATATTAACTTTAAAAGTAACTTTTCACAACACGCTACAGTTAAAATTAGAATCAAGCACTTTACATGTGCTTTAGTTTGTTAGTGAACACATCAAAATTTTGTGCTTTTTAAAAGCACAAAAGATTCAATTAAAAAAGTTATTTAAAGTAAAACTTTTAATTTGATATTACAAAGTGTACTTTTTAAAAGCGTACTTAAGTGTGTTAAACATTTGTGCAAAGTGGACTCTCTTTAAGTACACTTAAGTGGCCTTTTTTCATTAATATTATATCATCTACATTTTTTTTAAATATACTTTTACGATTTGAAGTACACTACAAGTGCACATTCAATGCAATAAAGGGCATTTTTTCACAAGGGAAGACTTCATTCATAGGTGAAGTGAGTTTAGGGCGGGACTATCTGTTTGGCCCACCAATAACAGAAGGGGGGAGTGTTCATGAAACAGTTCTGATTGGTTCTACTAATGGCACAAAAATTATACTTCACTTTTTTAATTAGAGCAGAGATGTATGCACTTCTCTCATGATTGACTCATGGCTGTGGCAACGTTTCCACAAACCATTAAATCAGGGAAAAAATATGAATTTTTATGAAATAAGAGCAGAGTTGTTGTCAGAATGTGATGACTAAGGATGTGAACAAAACTTTTTCAACATGTTCTCGGGCAACCTATGACTTTTCACCAATCAGACGTGTTTGTTATGGGATGCTAACAGATGCATTCAAGTTAGACACAATGGAATTAAACAATTTCAAGGGTCTCAAGATACATTTTTAAAAGGTATTATCCTGAAAACCAACTCTTTTTTACTTGCCGTTAGCATCTTAAGAATGCTCATGGCACAAGCTGCTTTAAAAAACAGCATGTCTCCATGCCTATGGCTGTTGCACCGGTACTTTAAAGGCGATGGATTTGAAAACACAGGTTTTCCAAGTGGGTTTCACCGTGCAAATAGTCAAACAGCGCTCTGTCGGATGCTTATTAAAGCACCGCCGCTAAAATATTTAAACGTCGACCTGACTGACCAGTCAGTTGATGACCATTCTCACACCCGTTATCTTTACATCAAAATTATCATGATTTTAGCTATGAAATATGCATATGTTTCCAGCGAAACCAAAGCGAACTCTTTCAGTCAATGGACATGCAATTATCTACATTGTATGATTGTGGCCAGTTCTGTTCCAGTTCTCCAGGAGTCCAGAAATGAAAGGAGCCCGCAGGCAGTGAGAGCAAAGTCTTGGAAAGCTCTGAAGGGCGTACAAAACAGCAGAATGCAGAAGTGGCCTTGTGCAGTTGTAAAGAGTCAGCGGGGATCAGAAGGCCTGTGGTGCTGATGGGAATGCAATGTACTCCAGTTTGCATGCTGAGGGAGCAGTCATGGTGTCACGGGTAAGACAGGCCACCGAGATCCAAACCGTCAGTCGTGTGTAAACACCTTATGAATGAACAAAATGTAGTCAATGTACTGTGTGTTGTGGCAGAGCAGGCCTGTCCCAGCTCTCACTCTCTTTGCTGGACCGTTGAGGAGTAGAGGGCTTGACCAGAGGTTTGAGTGTTATTCAGGTGTGTTGGCGATGGAGTTGGGGTTTGAATTCATCACTGGGTTTATGGGTGGTATGGCCTTGTGACTGAAGTACTCCACTACCTGTTTAGGCACCTCCGCTAGGACACACTTTGCCAGTGCAGCTGGTGAAGCCTGCAAAAGTTACACTTTTATTGGCCTCAGTGAGAGGGAAAAACATTAACAATAGTGAAAAAGAGCAAATCAACCACATTCATGGTAAGTTGTGTCCAAACAAAGGGATGAGGAAAGTACAAATTGCGATTTAAATTGTTTGGTGGAGAGCCAAGCAGCAGGCTGTTGAGAGTATTTACACATTTTTAATCCTCGCTTCTCTAAAATTATTGTTTTTTTGTTTTTTTCTGGGTGTTTACATGCGCGGAGGGAACAAACCGCTCTTGTGGAGAAAACTGTGGAGCTCTAAGAGATATTTCTGCAACACTGGCATATGCTGGTTCGCCTCGCTGCCTGCATCATTCACCAAAGCACCACATCATTTATGCAAGGCATCCGTTGCTCCTTTTAGTTTTCAAATCTTAAGGCCATAAAAAATATTACAATTTGTCTGCAAAGGCCTTAAAAACTATAACCTATAATTGTATTGGTCACATTTTGTATTAGGTTTCTTTAACGTACTTACAAAAATTTTGTTCATGTTATATTGCAAGGCACGACTACACTTTATTTTAAGGTGTCCTTGTTACAGTGTAATTGTACAATAGGCTACTGAGTAATTTTATTGTAACAATATGTATACTATGGGGTTAGGATTAGGGTTTGGTTTTATGGTTTAATCATGACTTTATTTCTCAGAATATGCAACATTACATCTCACACTTGCACATATAATTTCACTGGCCACTTTCTTAGGTACACCTGTTCAACTGCTCATTAATGCAAATATATAATCAGCCAAACACATGACAGCAACTCCATGTATTTAGGCATGTAGTCTGCTGAAGTTCAAACTGAGCATCAGAATGGAGAAGAAATGTTATTTAAGTGACTTTGAACGTAGCTGGGTTGTTGGTGCCAGACGGGCTGGTCTGAGTATTACAGAAAATGCTGATCTACAGGGATTTTCAAGCACAACCATCTCTAGGGTTTACAGAGAATGTTCAGAAAAAGAGAAAATATCCAGTGAGCGGCAATTCTGTGGGTGTAAATGCCTTGTTGACGCCAGAGGAGAATGACCAGACTGGTTCAAGCTTATAGAAAGGCAACAGTAACTCAAATAAACACTCGTTACAACCGAGGTCTGCAGAAGAGCATATCTGAACACACAGCACATCAAACCTTGAAGCAGAAGAGCATCTCTGAACGCTCAACACGTCAAACCTTGAAGCAGAAGAGCATCTCTGAACACTCAACACGTCAAACCTTGAAGCAGAAGAGCATCTCTGAACGCTCAACACGTCAAACCTTGAAGCAGAAGAGCATCTCTGAACGCTCAACACGTCAAACCTTGAAGCAGAAGAGCATCTCTGAACGCTCAACACGTCAAACCTTGAAGCAGAAGAGCATCTCTGAACGCTCAACACATCAAACCTTGAAGCAGAAGAGCATCTCTGAAGACTCAACACGTCAAACCTTGAAGCAGAAGAGCATCTCTGAACGCTCAACACGTCAAACCTTGAAGCAGAAGAGCATCTCTGAACGCTCAACACGTCAAATCTTGAAGCAGAAGAGCATCTCTGAACGCTCAACACATCAAACCTTGAAGCAGAAGAGCATCTCTGAAGACTCAACACGTCAAACCTTGAAGCAGAAGAGCATCTCTGAACGCTCAACACGTCAAACCTTGAAGCAGAAGAGCATCTCTGAACGCTCAACACGTCAAACCTTGAAGCAGAAGAGCATCTCTGAAGACTCAACACGTCAAACCTTGAAGCAGAAGAGCATCTCTGAAGACTCAACACGTCAAACCTTGAAGCAGAAGAGCATCTCTGAACGCTCAACACGTCAAACCTTGAAGCAGAAGAGCATCTCTGAACGCTCAACACGTCAAACCTTGAAGCAGAAGAGCATCTCTGAACGCTCAACACGTCAAACCTTGAAGCAGAAGAGCATCTCTGAAGACTCAACACGTCAAACCTTGAAGCAGAAGAGCATCTCTGAACGCTCAACACGTCAAACCTTGAAGCAGAAGAGCATCTCTGAACGCTCAACACGTCAAACCTTGAAGCAGAAGAGCATCTCTGAAGACTCAACACGTCAAACCTTGAAGCAGAAGAGCATCTCTGAACGCTCAACACGTCAAACCTTGAAGCAGAAGAGCATCTCTGAACGCTCAACACGTCAAATCTTGAAGCAGAAGAGCATCTCTGAACGCTCAACACATCAAACCTTGAAGCAGAAGAGCATCTCTGAAGACTCAACACGTCAAACCTTGAAGCAGAAGAGCATCTCTGAACGCTCAACACGTCAAACCTTGAAGCAGAAGAGCATCTCTGAACGCTCAACACGTCAAACCTTGAAGCAGAAGAGCATCTCTGAAGACTCAACACGTCAAACCTTGAAGCAGAAGAGCATCTCTGAAGACTCAACACGTCAAACCTTGAAGCAGAAGAGCATCTCTGAACGCTCAACACGTCAAACCTTGAAGCAGAAGAGCATCTCTGAACGCTCAACACGTCAAACCTTGAAGCAGAAGAGCATCTCTGAAGACTCAACACGTCAAACCTTGAAGCAGAAGAGCATCTCTGAACGCTCAACACGTCAAACCTTGAAGCAGAAGAGCATCTCTGAAGACTCAACACGTCAAACCTTGAAGCAGAAGAGCATCTCTGAACGCTCAACACGTCAAACCTTGAAGCAGAAGAGCATCTCTGAACGCTCAACACGTCAAACCTTGAAGCAGAAGAGCATCTCTGAACGCTCAACACGTCAAACCTTAAAGCAGAAGAGCATCTCTGAACGCTCAACACATCAAACCTTGAAGCAGAAGAGCATCTCTGAACGCTCAACACATCAAACCTTGAAGCAGAAGAACATCTCTGAACGCTCAACACGTCAAACCTTGAAGCAGAAGAGCATCTCTGAACGCTCAACACGTCAAACCTTGAAGCAGAAGAGCATCTCTGAACGCTCAACACGTCAAACCTTGAAGCAGAAGAGCATCTCTGAAGACTCAACACGTCAAACCTTGAAGCAGAAGAGCATCTCTGAACGCTCAAGACGTCAAACCTTGAAGCAGAAGAGCATCTCTGAACGCTCAACATGTCAAACCTTGAAGCAGAAGAGCATCTCTGAAAGCTCAACATGTCAAACCTTGAAGCAGAAGAGCATCTCTGAACACTCAACACATCAAACCTTGAAGCAGAAGAGCATCTCTGAACGCTCAACACGTCAAACCTTGAAGCAGAAGAGCATCTCTGAACACTCAACACGTCAAACCTTGAAGCAGAAGAGCATCTTTGAACACTCAACACATCAAACCTTGAAGCAGAAGAGCATCTCTGAACGCTCAACACATCAAACCTTGAAGCAGAAGAGCACCGGTGACACTCCAGTGAGATAAGAACAGGAACCTGTGGCTACAATTCACACGGGATCACCAAAACTGAACAATAGAAGACTGGAAATACGTTGCCTGGTCTGATGAGTCTGGATTTAATGGATCCATCCTGTTGTGTCTCAACGGTTCAGGCTGCTGGTGCTGTAATGGTGTGGAGGATATTTTCTGGGCACACTTTGGGCCTCTTAATACCTTTTAACACCTCAGCCTACATCAGTATTGTTGCTGACCAAGTCAGACCCTTTATAACCACAGTGTTCCCATCTTCTGATGGCTACTTCCAGCAGCATTACGTGCTATGTCACAAAGCTCAAATCATCTCAAACTAGTTTCTTGAACATGACAGTGAGTTCATTATACTAAAATGACCTCCAAACTCACGAGATCTAAATCTAATAGAGCACCTTTGGGATGTGTTGGAACGAGAGATTCACATCATGGATTTGCAGCCGACAAATCTGCAGAAACTGCGTGATGATATCAAGTAACCATGGACCAAAATCTCCCATGAGGAATGTTTCCAGCAGCTTGTTGAATCTATGCCACGAAGAATTAAAGCAGTTCTGAAGGCAAAGGGGGGTCCAACCTAGCCTGGTTAAAACCAGACCATTCTCAGTTGTAACTGAGTTATGGTCTGGCAAAGCGTCATAGACAAATCATTTCCAGAGGGGCGTCACCAACGGACGTCGCGGATAGACCTAAAACCAATCAGAGCGATGAAGGAGATGACGTATGCAGAGCGTCAGAAACATCTCCGAGTGTTGTTCTTTGCTCGGTTTTTAACAAAAAGGAAACGTTCAAATCGCTTAAAACAGACGCGAAAGCTGATTCGAACGAGTGATGTTCGACGGCGGCATCCATCTTTGTAATGTAGGCTACAAAATCTGCTTCAAAATCCCAGCGCTGTCGTAATCGTGTAAAGCCCGCCCCAACGTTTCTGATTGGTGCCTCGATTTCAACGGATTGAAAATGGGCTTGAATGAGCTCTTTGCCAGACTAACTTTCAGAGCAAATCTAAATTTGCCAGAAGTTGTCTGGGTTTTCCCAGGCTAGGTCCAACCCGGTCCTAGCATGGTGAACCTAATATAGTGGCCAGTGAGTGTACAGTATATCTCAGTGTGATTTCTTGTTTAAATATTTTTTTTTTTTTTATGTAACATATTTTACTCTGAGGTGGAAACAGTCTTGATTAGTTAACATAAAGACTTTTGATAGGGTGAGGATTAAAATAAATGCTACTTAGTTTTTGTTTTTCATTGCAAACATTTAAAAATTATATTACAATTTTGTTTTGTTTTGTTTTGTTTTTTTAATTAAGAAATATTTTTTTTTACATTTTAAGTTTAATTCTGTAGATACGCAGATACCCTCTTTCTGAGATGCAGGATCTACAGGAGATACAGGATCTACAATAACACATGTATTTGCAAATTCCCAGTGACTGACAAAAACTGACCGTTTTAAAGTCTCTAAAGGGCACAAACTGGACGATGTCCCTCAAGACTGGTTCCCCTTTGGGTGAGCGCAGGACTCCATCATCTCCATCGAGGATCTGCATGTCCGTGAAGTCAGCGTTTCCCACTCCCACTATGATGATGGACATAGGCTGGTAGGAGGCCCGAACAATGGCCTCCCGTGTATCGGCCATGTCGGTTACCACCCCGTCTGTGAGGATCAGCAGGATATGATATAGCTGGCAGAGAAAAGGGTTGTTATCAGGTATTTTATTTCATTTTTACAATGCACTGTTATAAACATGTCTGAGGCTCATCCATTAAGCTCGTAATTTCAATGAAAAATGGAAACATTTAAATTCTGTAATTATTTACTGAGCCTCATGTTGTTCTAAACCTGTTTTGTAGTTTCAGTGGAACAAAAAATCAATTTGTTTAGCATAAAAAGCCCCCAAATAAAAACTGAATTTTAATTTTGAACTGTTCCTTTAAATGCCTTGATAGTAATTAACAGAATATTAGATACATTCTAAAATAGGCAGTCACTGGGCTAAAATTAGCAATATTTACTGGCCTGAACATCCCAGGGGTCCGGCCAACATTCAACATGCAAAGTCTACAGTTTGAATGAATGGCCTGGTTTCTGAACATTGATCTCACTGAGCTCATTTACTGTAAAACGATCACTTTTGGGGAAGGGGTGATCTAAGTTTAATAATAGATGAAGATCGTCACAAGGACATAGTGTGTAGAAGACAGCAATGAAATAGAGCAAAGCATAGGAAATTGCTAAGCTTGAGGGCAAATATTTGACCTGAGACCATTAAATGCCATGTTAAGTGACTTAATATAATTCTAAATTGATTGTAGCTGCGCTAATTACCAAAACAGCCCTCAAGATAATCAGCTCTAAAAGGTTTTATTTGGATCATGATTAAATTCCTAAGGTTATGTGCACAAACCAATGACATAAAGGGGCGAACAAAAGGATAGTCAGAGGCAAATTCATTAAACCACTTTAGAGCTGCATTTCAGAGAAAAATACTGTTTTTTTATTCACATTTCACCTAGTCCAGAAACTAAATGATTTTCACCTGCATATTTCATCGTGAATATTTACCTTAAATCACATTAAATTTACTTCTAAGGGTAGAAACCATCACTGCAATTTGCATGATGAAATGAACACTGCAATATTATTGCTATAGGGACTCAAAGCCAAATACCTCATTTAGAAAGGCACAAATAATGAACTCTAATGAACTTATATTATTGCTGAAAATATTCGTTAGACTGATTACCTAACAAGCACAAGGATAAAGTTGTATTTTTTAACGACCATCTAATATTCAGCACAATGGCGAGTGTGTAAAGCCAGTGTGACTAAGGCCTTGTCCACACTAATACGTTTTCATTTGAAAACTCATTTTCTCTCCATTTTGGCCGTCCGTCCACACTGAGACGGCGTTTTCATCCTGCCAAAATTGAGCTTTTTGAAAACGCTGTCCCAGTGGATACATTTGAAAATCTTTGTGGACTGTGAAAACTGAAGGATTCGAAAAAGATGACGCATGTTTAGTCATGTGACGCAAATTGCACCGATAGAGAGCTATGTTTATACTGGTTTTGTGCCTGTTATGTGCTATTCACTTTCACACTGTTGCTAAAGATAATGTTATTTTGTCCTCTCTTTATATCACAGTTCTGCGAAGATGACAAAAATATTCACTTGCAATTGCCGTCCTGGGGCAAAACATGAGAGCAGTAGCGTTTTAGACCAAACGTACGGTATAATGGTGATTGAATACGACCAAAATTAGCAGATATTAAGCAGACAGTCTACTAATACTCTAATGACTGCTAGTTGACATGTTGCATACATATGCAATAAAAATAGTTGCATCTAAAATAGAGTTAAAATTGTGTTTACTGTTTAAACCCTGTACACATCTGGTTTTATTAGAATATGGATACAGGCAGATAAATATACAGAAAATAGCTTCACCGCACACCCTGTTTATTTTAAGGTGTCCATTTTACAGTGTAATTACACTACATGTACTTACTATATGGTAGGGTTAGTATTAGGGTTTGGCTTAGGGTTATTTGAATGCAATTATGCACAATTTATAGTATTTTATTTTACTGATATTAACTAGATAGTAACTACATGCGACGTGTAACAAGGACACTGTAAAATAAAGTGTCATCCACACCCTTAATTACTGCCCATAGAAAGCTGGTGGTTAAAGGAGTAGTTCACTTTAAAAAAAACTTTTGCTGATAATTTACTCACCCCCATGTCATCCAAGATGTCCATGTCTTTCTTTCTTCAGTCGAAAAGAAATTAAGGTTTTTGATGAAAACATTCCAGTATTTTTCTCCATATAATGCACTTTACTGGGAACCAAACGGTTCCAGGTCCAAAAGACAGTTTCAGTCCAAAATGAACAAATCTTTTTCCGAGTCAATTCGTTCATTTCGTTCGTTAAATGAATCAAATGACTCGAAAAAAGATTTGTTCATTTTGATGAACGAGTTCGAACAGGAGAGTCACACAGAACAGAGCAAGGCGGGCATTTGAGCTTATAAAACTTAAACTTTGTTATTTATTTTTTAAATGAGCGATCGTTTCGCTTGATAAGACCCTTATTCATCGTCTGGAATCGTTTAAAGCCCTTTGCACAGTTTGCAGTTTGCACTGAAATTGTCTTTTGGACCTTGGACAGTTTGGTGCCCAGTAAAGTGCATTATATGGAGAAAAATCCTGGAATGTTTTCATCAAAAATCTTAATTTCTTTTCGACTGAAGAAAGAAAGACATGGACATCTTGGATGACATGGGGGTGAGTAAATTATCAGCAAAAATTTTTTTAAAAGTGAACTACTCCTTTAATGTAATTTAATTTTTAAAAGGATGTTTGTGTACATTTTACTGATTATGGCACTAGTAATTCATCAAATAATGAAGATGCATGCATCCAGACAGATGCAGTAAAATACACTTTGACCATTTTAAACTGCCTCACCGGGGACAAAATGGTGTAGAAAATTCACTTGCAAACAAATTTCACAGGTATTTACGACTCGGCAAGTAATGCATTGAAGGAAACATGACATTTTGAAGTAGAGAGACTGGTATTTTCTTGCAAAACGTACTCTAGTATTCTTTGTTTTATCTACAATTTTGACAAATAATTTTTACAATAATTTTACAGTACTTCCATGTAAATTGCCAATGGCAACACTTTCGTGACCGTGTTTTCACCATTACCTGACTGCATGATTCCTGTAGTGATTGCAGTGTTCATTTTTATTGCATTTCACCTTCAGTCCTGTACCATAAACAGACACTTTAAAGATACTCACAGAAGCGTCTTTGATGGGTTCCTTCCCAGCTGCCAGTTTAGCTATTCTGTTGATGATGGGAGCCACATTAGTGGGACCGTAGAGCTGGATCTTGGGCAGGCAGTTTTGGTAGGCTTCCACGACCCCCTGGATCTCTGATCAGAGAGAGAGGGGACACGGCTATCACTTCTGTTCTGGAGGCTTATTTGTATTTCTCTCTCGGTCTCTGCGGGTTTCTGAGAGCAGTGCTGAAGTATTGGCAGCAAAAGCAACAGATTTTGGGATCAAATCAGTCGGAACTCTTCATCTTTTGCAGAAATGTGAACGGACTGAAGCAAGCCCAACATTTCCCACAGTCTTCACACATTCTCTTTGAGTGCTAAAGGAATTTTTCACACATAAATTTAAATTCGATTATTGTTTACTCAACCTCATGTCGTTCCAAAACCGTATGTCTTTTCTTCTTCCGTGAAACACAAAAGCAAAAATGCTGAGCAATATTATGTACGCTCTTTTTCATATTATGAAAGTAACTGGGGTCGGAGTTGTTAATGAGCATTATAAAAATATGCGTGAGGAACAGTCTAAAATTTTGTAATCCCTGCTAGAAGAACATGGAAGCTGGTTCAGTCAACACCATCTGACGACCAATTCGTACGAGTGAGTATGAAGTGGCTAATTCGTACGAATTTGTGCGATTTGTCTAAACCCCAGTGATAGGTTTAGGGGCGGGGTCAGGGGTAGGTCATTCGTACGAATTAGCCACCTCGTAAAATACGTACGAATTGCCGTGAGATTGGGTTGGTTCAGTCCAGTCATCAGCTGGACATTAGTTGGTCCAAAAAACAGCTTAACCACCTTGAACTGGTATGACCAACTGCTTTGTTGCTGGCCCAAGATTATCTACCATGACTAGTTGTCCACACAAACACGGGTATTTTAGTTTTTCCTCCTGCGTTTTAAAAAAAAAAATACCTTCCACACGCAAACGCAAAAACACGCTATCAAGCGCTGTCAAGAGCATGCCACACCAGAAGGTGGCGATATAACCCTAACCGTAAAGCCACGTTGGCCAATCAGAAACCTAACAAAAAGTTATTACCGGTTCCGGTAGGCGGATAATGACGCACAATCTGACGTCAAACACGGCGGATAACGGCGCACACTCTGACTTCGCAAGGCAAAAACCCCGGTTTTACTGTCTACACGACAACACTGTAACCGGCGTTTTTGAAAATTCTTACCCTGGCAGGGGTTTTCAAAAATGTTCGGTTGCAGTGACCTGATGCTGCGTTTCCGTGTGGACGAACGGCCGAACCGCGTAAAAAAAGTCACGGTTATAAAAATACCCGTGTCCGTGTGGACAAGGCCTTAGACTAACTAGAAACCAGCTTCCAAACAAAGTTTGCAGCTTAAAGTTGAAGTATGTAATACATGTTAATGACACATAGCAACACAGCTAAAAGTATTCCTAATATGTACTTTTACTAGCCTGGGAAAACCCAGACGAACTTCTGGCAAATTTGAGATTTGCTCTGCAAGTCAGTCTGGCCAAGAGCCCATTCAAGCCCATTTCCAATTTTTCCAAATCGAGGCACCAATCACAAACGTTGAGGCGGGCTTTTTTTATACGATGACGATAGCTCTGATTGGTTTTAGGTCTATCCAATTGCGCCCAATGGCATTTGAACGACGTCCGTTGGTGGTTGTTCCATTGCTCCATTCGTGAACTTTTGGAAATGGGCTGTGAATGAACCTTCCCCAGACCCACTATCAGTTACAACTGAGAAAGGTCTGGTGTCAACCAGGCTATACTTTTACTGAAAGTAGCCTACTTTTACCTGTTGAGACATGCCTTCACAAGCACCCATAGGAGCTGTATTTGTGATGTTTGAGATGGGAGAGGCGCGGAAGGGGTGTTTGCAAGGTTGTACATTTTTGTAATTCCGATAGGTGCCACTAGTGTTGCAGAAACTACATACTTCACCTTTAAACTATAGATTTTCTTGCAATTCGCCTTTGGCTAAGGCACACCCTAGAATGTAGATTGACCAATCACAGCGCAGCCAAGAACGAGCTCCCACAGAGGTCCGACACTTTTTCACAGCGCTCCATTCACTTTAACACAGGCGTCTCATATTTTTGGTCTCGGCAGGCTATTACCGTCGTAGTTTTATCAAAAATATGGTTAAACGTTGTGCCTGGGGCATTTGTAACACATATACACATTTCCCAGAGAGGTTGGAGGGGGGTGTCCGTTTTTTTCCCTTCCCAAACCGAAGTCAAATCCTGACATGTGTCGTCTAGCACACGCTTCTAAAAAATACAACGTTATACTCGCGTAGTCCGTTTGCTTTGTAATAACGATTATAGAAGTGAATAGAGACCTACCCAGCTTGCATGAACAGTGTTGCTCCTTGATATTGTGAGTGCCAGCCTCCGTCTCGATTAGTAGGATATGTGCTGGTTCATTTTTTGACTGTGACCGGTATGCTTTTGCCTCTATTTGGATGCCTTGTTCCTTGCGTTTCACCTGTATGTCGTGAATATAGCCTTCGAACATATATTGCAGCCCCTTTTGCCTACTTCTATCGGACACTTTATTTGCTGCTTTATAAAAGTTTGATAAAATTTCAGCAGGAAGAGCTGTCACAGCATAAGCCATGTTGATACCAGAGCCCAGATGAAGTTTGTTTGTCGGACGTAGCAACAGTAACTAAGGGGGGTGGGGCTTAGCCAAAGGCGAAATCCATTCACACTTGTGCCTGCTGACAGATTTACCATGCCATGATTGGTATGGTGCATGACGCAGGTCTGATGTCGGTCGATCGGTCCCGTCACATTGGCGTCACTATAACATTGAGATCAAACTTACTCAGCCTTAAAGGCACGTAATATTTGAATGGCTGGTGACAGCAGAGGGAAAGATTTTCTTGTTCCTCACACAAAGATGGCATCAGATGGATTCAAGAGAAAGTCGTGCACAAGTCCAATGGGACCACTTTTATGAAATGTTTAAAGTGCCTTATTGAAAAGAATGGCCATTCCTCAACATTTCTCCTTTTGTGTTCCACGGAAGAAAGAAAGTCATATAAAATCTGAAACGTCAATGAGGGGATTCGTGACTGAACTTTTCCTATAACTGCGACAATAGCTTCAGAAACATCACATCTGTCTCTGTTCAGCTCCCATGAGATGCTCACTAACATACAAAGTGCCTGTCACTCTTACCTTCACATTCATCATCCTCCGGGTTGAAATTGATGGCAAAGTCATGAGACACCTGTAGTTTGGAGAAGAAAAACAAACAGAAAGGTTTTGTTTATTCAACTTCAGCTTGTTTGGCATGCTTTTACACACCTGGTTTCTGGTTAAAAACTGTTTTTCTGCTGTTAAAACATAGCAATAAATCATGCAGAGCTTGTTGGTCTTATTTGCATGTTTCTAAGAAGAATACTTTCTGCAACACTATGCATGAAATGACCCGATGATAATGATGATGACGCTAAAACAAAATAGCATCCTCCCTACAGATTTTCCATTGTAATCAACAACCACTGTGAAAGCCCTCAAGTACTTAGCACAAATTTCATTGAAATTGAATTTATTTTGTTGACAATGACATTCTGAACTGAAGTGGACTGTAAATCTGCCTGAACAAACAGACCATAAAATGAAATCCTGTGATAGTTTACTTTCAAAACAAGGGGAAGTTATTACAAGCTGTTATTATTCTGATTTTATATTATTCTGTGAGAATAACCCAATTTTGCTGTAAAGGTTGGTATTTCATGAGAGAGAGTCTGTAAATAAAATAAAAAAATGGTTATGACTTGTGAGATAAAGGCTGCGGCCTACACTGAGAATGGTAGATACTTCCACATTTGTAAAATTATACACCCTCCTTGTGAAAGAGAAGTGCACTTAATTGTATTGAATGTGCACTTGCGGTGTACTTTAAATTTTAAAAGTACAAGGATATAACAAAAACTGCACTTGCAGATAATATAATATTAATGAAATAAAAGGCCGTGGACTATGTTTCTTAACACAATTAAGTACACTTTTGATCATGTCAAATTAAAAACATTTTAAATCATTATGTTTTAATAATCTTTTGTCATGCTTTATAGAAGTGCACTTATTTTGATGCGTTGACTTACAAACTAAAGAGTAAGTAAAGGACTTGATTATTTAGTGTATTTTTAGAGTGTTCTTTTATATTACATTAAAGTAATTATATTTTAAATGTACAAAAATTGCGGTTACCCTTTATTTTAAGGTGACGTAGTTACATTGTACTTAAATAAGTACTGACTTTAACTACATGTATAGAGTTAGGGTTAGGGTTTGGTTTAGGGTTAGTTACTTATAATTATGCATAATTTAGTGTTATTACTATAGTAACTACATGTAGTAATGTGTAACTACGTCAACTTAAAATAAAGTGTTACCGAAATTGCAACTTCATCATCATTACAAATATATTTAAATATGACATACAAGTTTCAATAGAAATTACATCAAAGAATATTTTAGTTAACCATAAATTCTTTCAGTATTCAGCATTTTAACTAAATATACAAAAATAATTACGAAATTACATTTTTAGATGTACTTCAGTCCTACTTAAGTGTTTTAAAAAGCACTCTTAAGCATGTGATATCATTTAGACTATAATACATTTTTATTTAATTGCAGTCAAGTCTCCAAAATACATTATATTCAATTCACATTTAAGTATCTTTTAAAGTATAATTACTCTTTTTTTAAAGTAGTCTATGCTAAAGTGTACTTGTAAGGGGTATTTGTAATTTAGTTTCTTGTAATTATGCATAATATACTGTTATTACTGTAGTAAGTACATTAAACACGTATAAGGACATTGTAAAATAAACCTACCATGGTCAAGAAAGCATTTTGTCTTTAAGCACCCTAATGTTATATTGTCTTTTTTCCAAAATATACTTTCCAGATGTGAAGTACACTATAAGTGCACAATCAATACACTTAAGTGCACTTCTGTTTCACAAGGGACCACATAATATATACAATATACAAAAAATATATATATTTTTACCTCATAATTAGGTGGAATTCTTGCCCCAAAGCCCAAAGCAGAGAACCGTTTGTCACTGTGATCAGATAAAAACATTCATTAGTAAATAAAACAGCAACTAATAAACGAGTTAAACAACACTTTATGTGCATATGTGCAACGCTTAGGTCCTTTCTGAAATATTTTATTCATCAAAACCCACATAATCACACACAATGCTTAATATCGACATATACCTCACTAGCTCAACAAGGTTCAAATATCAATAAGGCACTCGGGTGAACATGGTGTACTGCTAGCCTATGGGCAGAGCAGAGGTGTGTGTAAGATCATCGTGTTGAAGGAATGAAAGAGACTCGAATGAAAGTGAGAGGGGAAGACACAGACTCAGCAGGACAGCAGATTCACACAGCTGGTCACTCAACATGACGTGAGGAAGGGTGTCATGAGATCACAACCACAGAGCTGAGACATGAGGAGCAAGACCACCCCAGGCACACAGCTAGTCTTTCACTCGCTCATGAAAGCTAGATGAGGTAGCGCCGTTCTGATAGCTGTCACCACTCATGTTGGACAATCAATGACACCTGATTTGAATGCAACAATTTCATTTATTCTCTGGATGAATTCTCTAAAAAAAAAAAAAAAGTGAGTGCACAAAACTTTTATCCATAGCTGGCATTCATAGCAAACAGGATTCAGAATTGCAATTTGAGTATGATCTCTGTATAATATCAGTCTTTAAATGCAAGATATTTAAAGTGTACGTGAAGTATACTTGCAATAGTTCCACTTTAGCACAATCAAATATACTTTAGTTATCTGGAAATAGTGCTGAAGTTCAACGAAAGATATACTTAAGTATATTGAGGACAAAATTAGTTGTTCCAATTTAGCAGACTTTAAGTATACCAATTTTGTACACCAAAATAAAAATGTCATGGGTATAATAAGTACATATGTTAATTTATTTGTAGTATACTTGGCATAAAATAAATGGGTTAAATGTATTAACATTTTGGCATATTTATTTTTCACTAGGGTTTTTGTTTTCAAAGAACTGTAGATAATTGATTGCAGATAATATAATATTAATGAAATTTCATGTATGGAAGCTTGTTTCCGCCACAGAATAAAAAAAAAAAAAAAGGTAATTGCGACTTTTGTTTCACAATTGCGAGATATAAAGTTTTTTATATTTGATATTTATCGCATTCTTTTTTATATATATCCCAATTGAGTGTTATAAAGTCAGAATTGTCAGATGTAAACTGTCAATTCTGAGGAAAAAAAGTCAGTCTTTTTTTCCTCAGAATGTGACTTTATAAACTGCAGTTGCAAGTTATCTCACAATTCTGATTTTAAAAAGTCTGAATTGCAAGCTTATTTCTCGCAGTTGTGAGTTTATATCTCGCAATCCTGACTTTATATCTAGCAATTCTGAGAAATAAAGTCAGAATTGCAAGATGAGATAGATGCAATTGTGAAATAAAAAGTTGCAATATTCATGTTTCATAAACTTAAGTACACTTATTTTTAATGTGTTGACTATCATACAAAAGCACATTTAAAGTACTTTATACTTGATATTACATTAAAGGTTTAATATATCTTAAATGTCCTCAATTGCAACTTCATCATTACAAATTAGTAACTAAATATATTTGAATGCATGACAAGTTACAATAAAAATGGCATTAAAGTATATTTCAGTTTTCTATAAATGCTTGTCAGTAACTTCAGCACACTTTAGCCATATTTCAAAGACAATGGAAACAATAATGTAATAAAGATGTACTTAAAACAGCACTTTAAGTTCAACCAGTGCATTTAATATAACTTTAAATAATAATACATTTTCATTTAATTGCAATTAGCATGCATTTAAGTGTCTGAAAACATTACATTAACATATGTCCATAATAAGAACTCTTTTTAAAGGTCCGCTAAAGTGTTCTTCTTTTTCACATGGGCCTTTACAGCAGATCTCGTGACTCTGGAGTATGTGGAGCATCGATGCGCTCTGTCTGGAAAACCCTCCTGCGATAGAGCAGAACCCTGGACTCGTGTGTGGCTCAGATTGCTTTCCTGAAGACATCATGCTGTGACGGCTATTGAGAATGCTCCTGATCTATGAAGAGGAGAACACTAATCTCTAGCATGATGCAATCTCCATCTCCATAATCACATCATAGCTCAAGTTAATGTGAGCTATTGAGCTGTGGCTTGTTTACCATAGTGAAGAAAGGAGAGATTACTGAGATACGGCCGTGAGAAGACAACACAGAGACTAATATTACATGTGCTCTATCCTGACTTACTAAACCCAAGCCCAGCAGACAAATAAAGTTGACAAAGTCTGTGATGATAACTATAATGTTTTAAAACAAATGGCATAAGAGTATGACTTTAAAAATAGCTTTGGGTTACACTTTATTTCATTAATTTCCAATTGATGTCCAATGAGCAGGCATGCATGCAAATTTGTGCAAATCAGTTTGAACATAATGCAAAAGAGTTCATCAAAACCCAAAAAGCAGAAAATCCAGAATATGATTTCTGTGGGTCAAAGAGGCAAATTTGTTTTTCCATGCATGAGTAGAGTTAATGTTATATTTCAAGTCTGCTGAAATGGGTCATTATGGGTCATTTAATATTTTTTACATTCCTGTTGCTAAGCAACCACAGCACTTATCCATCCCATAATTGAGACATAGCCGCAGAGATGATCTGCATCAGTGTTATTGTAGTATTTTATTTTATAATTTTTTTTATTTTTATGTAATGTTTATTTTATTTCAAGAAATGATTTTCTTATAGCTTTAGTAATAACTGCAGTAATAATCCCAATCTGCGTGGAGTGGAGGCGGGGCTAATTTGCATATTCATAGAACCGCGTATACTAAATGAGGCAAAGGTGTAGAGTTATCAAGCTATTTTCAAGGAAAAAAAACTGTTAAATATGTAATTTCGGTGATCAAAGATTAGTTTTAAGGGATAAAATAATTGACTACAGGGGGACTTTAATAATATAAATATAAAAATATAAAATCCTCCAAAGCACTCTGTGCCATATTTCAACACTCCAAATGAATTTTTTGACGTGCTGTATCCATCAGCATGATTTATATGTATAATACAATGATGCCTGACATGCTAAACACTCACACATCCGTGATCGCGAGGCAAGCTGTTCCGACAACTGTGACTTCTTCCCTCATTGCCAACTGCTTTACAAATGAGTAAAAAAATAGTGCCTTCTCAGCTTCCCAAAAGCATCCAGCTTACTCATAGGCCTCTGTGAAACTGGGTCACAAGGGGTGCATCCAGGGGCGTAGCCATCATTTCAAAAGTGAGGGGGACAGAATGTCAAGACGTGTAATACCATTTTTTTTTTCAGACTTTTGTTGACAGGTTAAGTGGCTTAATATGCTATTTATTTTTAAAGCAATAAAACAGAAAGAAAGAAATGTAGATGTTCAGTACTTTATATTGCAGGGTTTTTCCTGGCTTAAAACGAGGCGGAGGTGGTAAAATCCTGATCATGTATTTTAATTAGATAATAACATTTTTATTTTTCGTAGACCATCATATAGCCTACTGTTTTTCCCACAGTATTTTTGTAGATGAATCTCGGTAGCCTATTTCTAGGGGGGTCCGGGGGCATGCCCCCCCCAGAAGAAAATTTTGTACATTTTAAAAATAAATTCATTAATGTGGTGCACTTTGAGTCCCCCGAATCCACTGTTAAAAATAAATAATCCACCCGTCAACCGCCCAAACATGATATTCTCTGATTTAGATATCTGATCATCGCATTACAATTATTCAAATTGTCAGTGTTACTGTTAAGCATGATAATATGGTTAAATATCACACTGAAGTAGGCTGATTTAAAAATAACATTTACTTAAAATAAAAGTTCTTCTTTTGGCAAAATAACATTTCCTTAATAGCCTATAAAGTCTGTCTTAGCCTACTAAACTAAAACTTTCCAATTGAAAACCTTCAAACGTCAAGCTTTTAAAAATACTTCAAACTTTCTAGTTAGGCTTTTTCAAGAGAACTTCAAGTTTGTCTACAAACTTTTTTATCTAATTGTAAAGTGTTACCGAATTATGGTAAACATCATAGTCTACACATGTTACTGCCTGATTCAAGCAGATCGTGGCTGTTGATGCATGAACATACAAATTCAGCATTAACAATCACCATGTTTATTCTAATTTGAACGGCTTTGATAACATATCTGTGAAAATAAAAGACATTACGAATAAAAAAAGATTGAAAATAGTGCACGTTTGTGCGGGTATAGTGAATATTTTCAATTTACAACAAAACTTGTTAATTATTCAACAAGAGAAATAGACAGAGTTATTTTACACAATTCCGATACCACATGACAACTTACTTACAGTGCTTACTTACAGTGCTTGACTTTTTCGTGAAAAAGGAGTGAAGAGTTTTTTTTGCCGTTTTGAACTATCAAACTGATGGATTCGGCGCGGCTGCGAGCATGGGCGTGTCGCACGAGCTAGTGACTGATTACCATGGAAGCGTGAAAGTCACGTATGTAGATAGACTATCCTTTCTTTGGATTTTAAATCTCGATGTAGGGCAGGCTATACACATTACACACCCGCGAAAACCTCAGCTTGTCATAGACACATTTGCCCTATGAAAAAGTGCGGGGGACGAATTTACATTTTATAAAAAGTGGGGGGACGTCCCCCCCGTCCCCCGCGTAATCTACGCCCATGGGTGCATCCATATTATTCAGTCATATTCCATTAACTTATTCCAATCACTTGCATACTTTCTCTCATTCAGCATTCTGATTTAAAACAATAGCTCCAACTTTTTTGCCACAATGAAATCAAATAAAGTCGTGCTCAAAAGTTTACATACCTCGCAGAACCTGCAAAATGTTAATTATTTTAAAAAAAGAGGGATCATTCAAAATGCATGTTATTTTTTTTTATTTAGTAATGTCCTGAATAAGATAATATGAATAAAATATGTTTACAGTCCATAAGACAAAAATGAATAGATACATTTATAAAAAATAACCCTGTT